GTTACATATTTATGCATGTTTTGTGCTGATGAGATCAAATTTGGAGTCTTCTTTCCTCTCGCAAAGGAGCCCTGTGCATTTGTCAAATTTCAAGTTTTGAGTCAAGTATACTGTTTGGTATTTGCTCTAAAAATGGGTTTGAGTGCGATGGAGGAGGAGGTTGATAATAAATTTAATCGAGTTTTTCGCAACTTCCCGCCTATTTTTGGGTCGTCAGCAGGAACAGGGCCTCTAGGGTGAACGTTTTAAAAAGTGATGAAAGTGATGGGTAAAAGGGTCAAACTTTTCATGTGCTTCAAAACATCATTTTTCAGGCATTGAGGAAGATATGTACTTTTTCGAATAAACATTTTTTGGATAGAGAAAAGTTGCCCAAGAAACTTCAAATGCTTATTTCTTAAAACACACTTTTTCGACTTGGGTCCTTCTTTATGGCAAGGGCTCAATTACTCGTAGTTCAGAAATCAAAGAATCTGCTTATCACCACTATAGTTTCAAAAACCCAAATCTAGTCCTAATTGTCAGCCCTCTGTGGATCATCCTGCACCAGACACACTTATCTGTGGCCTGTGTAAGTTCTCCATGCACTAGCTCAAAGTGTTTGCGCCAAGTGCGCTTATCTGCGTACTCTGCGCCTGTTTGTAGCCTCCTTCGTAACGCATTTTGTGATGTTTTCTTGTCTCCCCTTTCTTGACTTTTTTCTCGCAATTATACAAGTAACGCTTTTGTTTTGCAATTTTATAATGTTTTTCTATTGTATGCCATAGCAGAAACATCCCTATGGACAAAAGGAATCTGATTCTTACAAAAAGCCGGATCCGTTAACGGTTCCCTTTTTTGAGACTAATTTGTCATAATTAAATTTTTAGACGTATTCTACTGAAATGAATCCGTCAGAATCCAATTATACATAAAACGATTTTGTTAACGGATTGGATGGATTTTAAACCCACCATCCCGGGAATAAATCTATCAAATGGATTCAATCTTGCAATCTCAACTTGGGTAAACAGTCCTTACGGCATTTATGGTATTTTATACATAGTCTGCACTGGCTTCGGCCATACCATCATAATGGATGCCAACCCGTGTATTCATTTCTTGCGAATCCGTAAAATGAGACAAACCCGTTCATGAAGCTGTCTTTAGGATTTCAAAGTGAAAAATACGGATTCAAATTCAGAAATGGATCCGTTTACTAACTGAATACAAATCCATTTTTGAAATTGTGGGATGTCAATGCCCACATCAACAATTTAATAATGGAAACCTGTGGTCTTCAAGAAGGCCACAGGAATTCAAAGATTAAATGAAGTTGAATGAAGAGCAGAGTTCCCTACAGACATGCACCTTAGCCACACATGCAGCCAGGCGCGGAGATCGACGATTGTTGGCTTCCCCTGTGGTAGGTTAAGTTGCATGAGCAACCTAAGCCGCCAGGGAGAAGCCAGCACACTCGTCTCTGCCTCACCGGCTCGACTGGTGAGACAGAAACGTTCGTGTGACGTGTCCGGCCATTCGTCATTTGCCAGCTTCACTTCACCGTGTACATTGTACACGGTGAAACGAATTCAGCATTCGTTCTTACTCTCGTCGTCGTCGATTCGAGATCGACGATCGACGAGAGCTTTCTTCGAATTCCATCTTTCCCCCGATAGGAAAGATGGAATTCGGGGCGAACGAATACCACCACCGCAGGGTGAGGGGATAGACGTCGAGATTATCCCCACAGAAATATTTTGCTCATGTGGATGAAAATGCCAAAAAGTTTTTAACCGACCAGCTAGGCTTGGAAGGACTGGTAGTGACTTTATTCACTTTGTTGGCTTCACTCACTCCAACATTAGACTAAGTTATAATATCAAATCTGCTGAGTCCAATTATATGTAATTGAGCACATCCCATAGAAAATAGGCTAAGTGCCACAAAAACGAAAAATGAAATTTTCATGGAAAATAGTCTATCAACCTCATGCCATTCCGTCAAGCATAATATGGGTTGGACTCAGTGTTGTACGAATGTGATACAAAAATCCCCCACAAGATTGCGTTTTCTGTATGTTACCATCTCTGTACACTAGAGAATAGGCTATGTGCCCCATAAAGGCACAGCGGTTTGGGCACTTAGCCTATTTTCATATCATCAACTCGTCCTTTCAGAATAACGTCTTTTTAACGCTGATCACATTTTTGGCACTTAGCCTATTTTCTATGGAATGTGCTCAATTACTATTTTACTCGCAGAATAAAAGAGAACTTATAAAATTATCAAATAAAAGGGGCAAAAAGAGAAAAAACACCATTTGTTTTAGATTAGCGTTGAAGTGATTCGTTTTCAGTACTTACTTAAACTGTTCGAGATAACAATTAAAATTAACGCTAGTTTGAAAAACATTTTGCTGGTTGTAAATGTAAAAATCTAATCGATCTGGATGATTTCAACACAGATTTTCAAAAACTATACAATTGTAAGCCTTGAACCGACTATTTCCTACACTTTCAATAAGCACATTCCCTAAAATTAAATTCTGAAAAATAAATCGCAATTTTCATCTTTTGATATAATCTCATTTTTGTTCGAGAATTCCTGGAGGTCAAATGCGTTATCAAAAATAATTTACGCAAATCAACGCTCATCCAAAAAATGTTTTATTGATTGCTCATTAGAAATGAAGTTACTTAATTGTTCACGTGATAAGCGTTATTTAATTAATCGGAACAACGGTGTGTAATTCTTCTAAAAAGTGAGTACAGTGTACTTGCCGGTTATTATCATAGCTTAACAGGCCCGTAACCAGAGAAAAATGCTTGGGAGGGGCAAATCCAAATTTTGGGGGGTAAAATGAGGCAAAATTGACCCCTTTTCCCCTTTCGAAGCATTTTAGAATTTTTCATTTAACAGCCTTTGGTTTTCCCTATTTTTGCAATGAAGAAGTGAATTCTCATTTTAATTAAGTAAATTATTTCAAAGTGACTTCTGACCACTTCAAATCATCTCCTCAATCAGTTTTCATAGCTTTAGACTGATCATCATCGAAATAAGAATGAGTTTTGTGTATCTTTCTGAAGGATATCATTTCTTTCCTTCAACATTTAAAATTACTATTATATTTGTACTCGTACAATAAATCTCTAACTAGGGCATTATAAATTAA